AGTCAGTCCTTCCACCTCCTGTGTGATGGCTTCGCTCACGCGGCAATTTCGTCACTGTCGTCACTGTCCTCTGCCCTTACATTAAGTGGAGGCCGTTTATTTTCACATGAGCTAGTTCACATCTGATTTATTCAACTTAGTAAACATTGGAGTTCGTATTTTATTGATGTTATATATTGTGTTCTGGAGTATCGTTGCAGGGCTTGGAGTTTTATGTCATCTTTGGGTATGATGAGTGATATGATGGTTTTAATGTAATTCATAAAAATTGGAAACAGTTGCAGATAAACCTCAACATCAGTCTTGCTGCTGCAGTTTTTGAAGCTCGTTGTTTACTCAGGCTTTATTCTACCCATTTTCGCATTAGTCCTGTAAGCTTCGTTTACCTTCCTGTTGGATCGAGGACATTTTTGGATTAATATACATTTTCCAATACATTCACATACGAGTCTGACAACTTCAGAGGGCAGCTAGTAGAAGTCCTCACACTGGTACATTTTTGTTTGTTCGTGGAAGTGGTGACTGCTTGACCTCATTGGAGACTGAATTGGTCAAAAGAGATTTTTGTTATGCCTAGGAAAACTAATTCTCCCCCCATCTTAGAGGGATTAGTTTTGTTTGTTTTTAAGAGACAGGTTCTTACTTTTTTGCCCAGGCTGGAGTGCAGTGGTGCGATCACAGTGCACTGCAGCCTCCAACTCCTGGGCTCAAGCCATCTTCCTGCTTCAACCTCCTGAGTAGCTGAGCATCTGGAACTATGGGCGTGCACCACCAGGCCTGGCCAATCTTTTATTTTTGTAGAAATGGGGTCTTGCTATGTTGCCCAGGTGGGTCTTGAATTTGTGGCCACAGGGGATCCTCTAGCCTCAGCCTCCCAGAGTGCTGGGATCATAGATGTGAGCAACTGCACCCGGCCCGTTTTAGAAGATCCTTCTTTTTTTGTGAGAAACTCCCAGTTGGAACAGTAGTTATCTTGTTAGTTTAAGTAAGAACTGTTAGTTTACATTATTGAAGGGTTTCTGATTTTGGACTTGAGCTTTGACATAGGCAGTTTAGAAATTAGTTTTAACGAGATTGTTTTTGTCCAGTCATACATAGATAGATGTTTTGATTGTGGAGAGACCTGACACATTGTAGAAACATTTCTTGTTAAAAGTAAAAAGAGAAAATCAAGAACTAATAAAATAGGTTAATTCTTAGCAATTTCTGTTTTGTGGGTTAAAAGGCCTGAAGTTATTTAAAGTGAAGAGGAGACAAAGGCAAGACAGCGTCTTTCAAACAGTTGCTGTTCTAAAGCAGCATGAATGCACGGCCGGGGCGTGATTAGGTAGGACTGTGTACAGAGGGCTGCCTGGGCCCGGGACAGCGTCCCTCTCGCATCTGTGGACGCCACCACGGGTCTCAGCAGTGAACTTGCCTGAGGTGGGGATTTTGTAGGCCTCTAGAAACAGCACTAGCCCTTGGAATGTCTTATCTAGACCTGGCCCCGGCCTTCATTTCTCTTCTGTTTCCTCTCTGTTGCGGTCACATCTTTGTTTCCTCAGGGGCACCGTTGGGTCAGTTGTCTGAACTTTGCCGTTTCCTGTCTCCCTCCTCCTCCTCCCACTGAACTTTGACCTCCAGTATTTTCCCACTTGGCTCACAGACATGTTCGTGTTTCTCTGATTCGTCTTTTAAACAAAACCAAACCCTTCCTTTAATGTTGTCTGCCTCCGTCAGCCCCTCTTCCCTCTGTCCCTGCGTGGCCCACGCCCCCCCAGCCGGCCAGCAGAAGCTTCCCACGCCTGCTGCGCGGCGGCGGTCCGTGTCCGCCAGGCTGGTGCGCGTCCTCCCAGGCGTTTTTACCAGGTAATACACATGTGCTTACAGTGCTTTTGAAATGTCGCACACGTATTTAAGTACATGCAGGGGCTTAGCGGTGCTGTTCTCGGGGTCTGTGTGGAGCGCAGCCGGCGTCTGGCGTCGGCACCCGCTGCCCCTGCTTGCTCCTCGGCTACCCGCGTCTGCCTCTGACCTCTTTGACTAAAACGGTTTTTATTAAAGGGAATTCAGTAATCTCTTGAGCTAAGAAAAATTTAAATAGGTTGTCAGAGGTAAGATCTGAAAAGGTGCCCGGGGTGTTGGGTGACAGTCCCCTCTCCCGCCAGCAGCCAGGGAAGGGCCCAGCGCGTTTTAAGGGTCAGGCAGTGTTTGGTTCCTTTACGTAGGTGTGAGAACTTTGATTTCACATTCAAAGAACAAGTTTCTTACCCTCTCCCCAGCCATCTAGTTCCCCTCCTAGTAGGTAACACCGTTCTTTGTAGAACCTTCCAGAGAGACTGTGTATTTACAAATGGATAACTGGTGTCCCTTGGTTTCCTCTCTTGGTGGCCTGGAGGAGGGTTCTCAGCAGTCCCTAAGGAGCACCCTGGTTCTGTTCTGAGGCTGCCCGGTGCGGGTGTGTTTTTGCTCAGTCCCTGTTGATAGACACTTTGGTGCCGTCGTATTACTGCGAACAGCACAGTGTCAGCTGTGTGTCATCTACATAGTGGCCACGTTCTGCAGATGTGACCTTTCACACGTAGGCAGGTGTATCTGTAGAGCAGAACTCTGGACGTGGAGTTGGTCAGACAGCCTGTGCTTATTGTTTTACGTATTGCCGTGATCTCCCTTTTAAAATTCCCACAACAGTACCGAGTGCCTGGTTCCCTGCACGTTGAAAGCGCGCGAGTTCGGTTCGGTTGGGTGAAGAGGGCACCTCCGTGCCGTGTGGTTTTACCTTGCAGCCCTCTTACGAGTGAAGTTGGACGTTTCTTCAGGTGACCCATGTTATCATTTTTGGTGAGTCAGCCATCTCCTCTGTGCATCTCTGTTGGATTGTTGGTCTTTGGTTTTTAGAAGCTCTTTAAGTTTCAAGGAAATTATCTTTAGTAGGAGTTGCAAGTATTTTCCTTTTTTTATCTTTTGACTTTGCCATGCAGTTTTTTTAATGTCCTATTTATCAGTCTTTTTTTGTATGGCTTCTGGGTTTTGTGTTGTAATTAGAAATGCATCGTGCCTTATATATCATGCATTGCACACATCAGTATAGATTACATATATGTACACACAAAGCATCATACGTTGTGAAGACATTCCCCTGCAGTGTCTTCTGGTACAGAACTTGTGTGGTTTCACTTTGTGTATCGAACAGATCCATCTGGAACTTGTTTGGTAAGAGATACAAAGCTAGCTTTATAGGTTCCAGATGACAGCCCGTTCGTCCGAACGGCATCTGTCGAATATCTATCTTCTCCCTCCCAGAGCTGAAATATCTTTTATCATATGTCCCGTATCCCTTGGCTTCGCTCCTGCACCCTCTGTACTGCTGCTTCGACGTCTCCGTCTGGACGGCCTCGTCCTGGCCGGGCGCGTGGACCCTTGGCGGACTGAGGACGGTGCTGCCTCCTGTCAGCTCTGGCGCTGCTGGTTTCCCTCCTCTCTGAGTGTTTGCTTTCAGTTTCTCATCCGCCTTCCTGCACTTCTGGTTATGTTATTTCTCAGGCTTCTTTCCTTTTGCTTTGTAATTTGTGACATTTTCAACTGTGGTTTTGCCAGTCTCACTGATGAATCCAAAAACTCTGCATGCCCAGCTAGACCTTGAGGTCCCAGCGAAGGTTCTGGTAGCTCAGTCCATACGAAGGCAGGCTTCTCTGTTCCCATCTGCCGTGGTTTGATTGTTTCCCAGAGTTCACATGTTGGAGACTTAATGCCCGTGCGGAGGTATTGGAGGTGGGACCTCATGGGAGGTGATTAGGCCACTGCCTGTGACAGTGGGTCAGTGTCCTTACTGCCCAGAGCGGGCTTGTTACCAGAGCAATTTGGGCCCCTGCTCGCCCTCCTGCCCTTCCGCGCGGGCCCGCGCGGCACCGAGGCCCCGTCAGGTGTGGCCCTCGACCTCGGGCTTCCAGACCTGTCAGAAGTACGTTCCTTTTCTTGGTAAATCGCCCCTCTCTGGTATTCTGGGACGCCATCCTTGGCCAGCTCCCCCTTCCTCCCCGTCCCCGCCAGCCAGGAGCCCTTTTTAGCCCCTCACTGGTTTGCTCCTGAGTCCTTAACCGCCTGCAGGTTTGTCGTGCAGTGACACCGTCACGGCTCCTGTGTGTGTCTCTCAGGGTCTCATCCGCACTTGCCACGGTGGGCACACTCATGGCACACTGCTAAGGCAGACTCAGACGTGGGGCAGTGTGCCACGGAGCCAGGACATAGGTTAAAATTGTCTTCAGGAAACAAGCACGACCCCAGCCTAGTGTAACTCCACTTGCCTTCCGATTCAAAAATGCATGTTGAAATGCAAGGGACTGACGTTTTTCTTTTAGAATTAAGCTGATGGCTATTGTTTAAAGTCTACGAGAAACAGCTCTGTAGCTGCTTTATTTTATTTTTTAATTAAATAGTTCAGAAACATCGATACCTGAGCTCTTTTTAGAAATAACAGTGACACACTCAACTTCTAACCTTCAGTTGGATCATCTCTTTAGCACCTTGTGGTCTCCTGGCCTGGTCCCATCTCTGTAGCCCCCGTATTTGCAGCTCCCCCGTCCCTTGCAGTCCCTCTGTCCCCTGAGCCTTTGCAGATGCTGTTCTCTCAGGCAGGACACCTGGTACCGGCGACACCGCCAGTTTCCGCTTCTCGGCTGTCAGATGCCATCCTGCTGTTGCCTCCTCAGCCTAGAGCTGTGCGTCGTGTTGTAACAGGTCTCTCTACGTTTCTGTCACGAGACTTGGACTTCCTGGAGGGTGGACACTGAGTCTGTCTTTTTGGTTTCAGTCGCTAGAGCCTGGCAGTTCTGCACCCTCATCCTGGGAGTGTCCGTTAAACCCAGAGGCAGGAGGTGTCGGACGCTGCTGGAAAGGACAGCGTTTTCCTCGGGCTTGTTCCCCGGCCGTGGTGGTCACTCGTGTCACTGATGCCAGCTCTTTATCTCCACCTTGTGCCTTTCCCCGATGACTGCTTCTCTGACGTGTTAATATGTAGATCCTGGGGAACTTTAAGGTATCTGTACGCTACTTTCTTATTTTTAACTTAAAAATATATTTTTAAAAAACTGGCGTGCGGAAGATTTCTCTGGGAGAAACTGACCCGATAGTTTGGCTCTTGTTACCTGGATGGCAGACACGCAGGGGGCCAGCAGGTCGGCTCAGAGTTGGGGAACCCGTCGCGGCGCTGTGGTCTCCTGCGGAGGCACGCGGGTGGCAGGTGCATTTCCTTGGAGGAGTGTTTCTAGTTCTACGAGGAGGTTTGGTGGTGTAAAAATGTAAAGGGGTCCTTTAGTACGAAAGGATTATACTCCTTCGATGCTTACAAAATCTTAAATCATGGGGAGCCTTTATGTTTTAGTTTGCTATGGAATGGCAAGAAACTGAACAAGTGTTGGTCACTCCCGTTAATGTTTAGTTTATATTCCTCTTAAGCGTTCAACAGTGACGTCAGGTTAGCCGTAAGGAGGGAGCATTATGGAAGCATTTCCTAGTTACGTAGGACTTTCACATAAAAGTGTCGCTGGAATTACTAGAAATTATTATATCCTCAGGTTTCTTACTGATTCCCAGTGAATTTAATTAAAACGTGTCTATGTGGGAACTAGTTCTAGAAATTTAATGGTCTAGACTTGAAAAAAGATTAAACTGTTGGAAGTAGGAAGAGATTTAATTTATGAGAAGAGAAACAAACCCCACCCCCAAACTCTTTTGGTCATTTTAACAAAATTTAAAAGCTTGGGAATAATGCTGACAACCTAGGTGTGATGAAGTCGGTGCGGTTAATAAAGTACCTTGGAAGGACTGCGTGTCAGAGGGCGTGGGGCCACCGTGGCGTGTGTCATCCACCCGACACCGAAACGTTAGACTTTGCGGAGCTTCTGCACTGCCGGCGGGGACCCCTCTGACGCCAGGCCCCCGGCAGAGCAGCTTCCACACGTGGGGACTTCGCAGGGTGTGGTACTTGTGAAAGCGCTTGCATGTGCGGACTCTTTAGAGAACAGGCAGGAGGCCGGTGAACCAGCGCACCACTGTGTTTGTGCGGGAGGTCAGTTTATCAACCGGCGGTTTCCCCTTCAGAGTCGCTGACGAGACACGAAGTGAGAGCGGGCAGCGTGAGCGAGGACGGTGCCAGTGGATGGCATTTCCGGTCCCTCCGTGCAGCCGCTGCTCCGAACGCTTCCGAGTATTTATTTAACCCTCGTAACAATGCTGTGAGTTAGTCTCTATTTTTGTCCCCATTTTAGCCGTGAGAAAACAGACACAGAGAGGTTAAGTGTAAGTGCTTTGCTGAAGGTGACATCAGTAAGTGGCTATTTTTATTACGTGAAGACAGAATTGTTTGTTCACTTCATCAGTAAAAGCGGGAGGAAAACCTGAGGAATGTGAAATGGAAAGAAAGTGAGCCGGGCCGAGCAGCCGTGACCCTAGAGTTGATCTCGTGCGCGGCTCCGCCCTGCCTCGGGAACGAGGTCCCGTTTGAGTCCTCGGACGCAGGTCTCTAGTTGAGAGGCCTCTGCCCTGCAGGCCAATATCTCGGTGGGTTTTTCTTTCTTTTCATTGAAAGGTAAAGCTCAAATTTAATGAAATGCACAAATTTTGAGTGTGCCATTTGAGTGTTTTTACCATTAGGGTTTTGACAGATGCACAAGCCTCGATAGGGGTTCATGCGGCATTCTCCGTCACCCCAGAAAGTTCCTTGGTGCCATTTTCCGACCAGGTCCTACCTTTGTCCCCCGGCCCCGGGCCGTGTTCTATTTTTTATTCTCTATTCTGCTGCTTTCCCGCCACCGAGTAGCTGTGCTGTGCTGAAGTGTATCTGAGCCGAGTCGTAGACGTCCCTCTTACCTGCTGGCGTGCTCTGCCACGGGGCTTGGTGGCCGTGTCGCGATCACGCTCTGCACGCTCAGCGCTGAGCAGTGCGCTTGAGTCTCGCAGACTGTGTGAGGAGCTTGCAGCTGTCCCGCAGCCGTGTGCTCCCGTTAGCATTCAGGTCACCTCTGCACATCTCAGTGCGGTACCCTTGTTTGCTTCAATGTGAGTGTGTTTCTTACAAACTAAGAGGAAAATGCTGTCTTTTACGTTGGCCCGCATGTCTGCCATTTTGATGCTCTCCTTCCTCACCGAAGCTCCAGCCTGTCGCCACATCCTTCCAGCCTGGGAAACCGCTTCAGCACTTTTGGAGTGTGGGTGTGCTGGCAAGAAATTCTTAGTTTTCTTTTATCAGAAAATGTTTTGTTTTTACCTATGTTGTTGAAGGGTGTTTTCGCTGGCTGTTGGATTCTTTGCTGACAGTTTTTTCTTCCAGCACTTTCGAGAAGTCGAGACGCTGTCTCCTGGCCCCTGTCGTCCGTTGGCCTCGTTCCCGGGTCCAGGGTGGTGCCTCCCTCGGCTGGTTTCAAGATTGTCTCTCTGCCTTTGGTATTTGAGCAGCTCGACTGTGACTGTCAGCTTGGGTTTATCTTCTCTGGTTTCCCTGAACTTACTGGATCTGTAAATTTATGCCTTCTACCAAATGTGGGAATTTTTCTGCCATAATTTCTCCATAACTTTTTCTCAGTCTCTCTCCTTCTGGGACTCAGCGACAGATACGTTCAACCGTGTACATTATACGGGTCCCCGAAACCTTGTTCATTTTTTTTCTTTTCAAATCTCTCTCTCTCCCCTTCCGATTGGACACTTTCTATTGATCCATCTTCAAATCACTGAGCCCTCTGTTATCCCCAGTCTGCTGTTGAAGCCCATCCACTGGATTTTTTTTAGTTTAGAAATAGCATTTTTTAGTTCTGGAATTTCCATTTTTAGAAATGTTGTTTGTCTCTGGAAAGCCTTTTCCTTCCGTCCTTGTGCATTGTGGTGGCCGTTCCTGCTGAGCCCGCTGTGGCCTCCGTGTGCTGCTCCGCTGTGGCCTCCCTCTGTGTGGACGGTGTCTGTTGTCCAGGCGTCTGCTAATCCGGGATTGCTTCTGGCGTTATGACTATTTTGTAGAAACTCTGGGTTTTGTTCTGTCCTCTTGAGAGTATCGGTGTTACTTTGCGTGTTTTAGCAGACAGTAAACTTGGCTGGGCTCCACTGCAGACACGCTTCCCTGTGCTGTCAGCGGCTGGGATCTCTGCTCAGCCTTGTCTTAGCGTGTCCTGGAGCCTGCCTGTGCACACGCATTCCAGGGCTCGCATAGGTGTGGGCGGAGTTTATCTGCAGAATTTGGTGCTCCCCTTCCAAGGCTGTCCCCGCTCTGGAGTTTCCCCCTGGCTTCCCAGCTGCGGTGGTCCAACAGCACTCTCCTCTCTGGCCCTCCAGGTGGGTCGCACTCCTGTCTCCCAGACCCCTCTGGGTTCTGCCTGCTCGGGGCCTGTTCAGCCTGGTGTTTTTATGCTTTGTGCGGAGTTCAAAGTTACCTGCAAGAGAATTGGTCTGGCTACTCGGCCGTTACGGGAAGTAGAACCACCTGCAGTTCATAGTCCAAGAGTTGCGGCAAACACGAACCGTGTTCTTGGAGGGGCGAAGGCGGCTGTGGAGGAGGTTTGTGTCGCAGGAGCTGCTGTTAGGGAGGGTAAAGGATGAGGCTCTGTCCCGAGAAGCAGCTGGACGGCCTCTGCCTTGAAGTCAGAGGGTCCCTTTGGGGCATGTCGTGAGATGGTTGTGCTAACGTAAATCTTCTGGCACGCAGAGGTGCTGAGTAGCGGGAAGGAGAGGCAGGTGTGTGGTGACCGGCAGGAGCCGTGTGAGAGGCAGGGCAGGGCTGGATCTCAGCCGTCGCCGCGGAGTTCGTCTTGGAGATACCGGGTGCCTGTGCAATGAGGGTCTGGTTGTAGCTGCTGTGGGAGGTAAATCTTGAATGTCTTCACCCGAACGTCTCTTGTCATCAGACCGGTTGAGCCCTTGCTGGTCTGGCCTTTCCCTGCGTGGCTGACCGTGAGAGATTGGTCCCTGGTGGCGGCAGCAGCTCTGCCTTGTTCGTAGTAGGCGTCCGTGCAGACCACTGGGCGGAGCTTGTGGCTCCTGTAGAGACAGGACCCGAGGGCCCGTTCTGCTGCACCTCCTGGACTCGGGTGCGCTCGGTGTCAGCCCGGTGTTTCCCGCTCGTTCCGCTGCCTCGAGTGCTGTCCTTCCCACCCCGGACGCCCGAATGTGCCCAAACTGAACTGCACTGTGGCTGGAATTCCCAGGGGTCGTAACGCAGCTGTTTCAATGTGCTAACTGCTATGAATGGTCCACCTTAGGCAGTCGAATGTTATATCTGGAACCAAAATGATCATCGTAGCATAGTTTACTTGCTATGATTAGACATTCAGCCAGTTTCTCAAAGAAAACTGCAGTATTTAAACATATTTCTGGCCCACACATTCACAATAACGCTATTGCGTGTAGAATGTGCTTAATGTCAAAAATCCTGAAGGTGAGCGTAGTCTACAGCTAGCTCTTTGTCTGCCGTCCTTGTGGATGTGACGTCCCTGGAGTCAGGTTCTACCCGAAATGGCAGCGTGGAAGAGGAACTGCAGTCTCTACATCTGAACTGTCTGACCTGCCTGGTGTACCTGTTTTCGATATTACAGGTGACACATAATGTAAGTTTCTCCCGACGAGGATGTGACCATTGTGGCGAGTGTATTGCTTTATTCCAGACAGTGTCGTCTTCGGCGTTGGTTGGTTGGGTTGTTTGTTCCCAAGGGGCCTTTCCTGCTTTGCGGGTGGGTTGCTGTGCCTCCCTCCAAGCAGCCGTTGGTTTGTCTGTTCCTGCCCCGCCATGTGCTGTTCATCGTCTGCTCTGTCGGGCCGTGTCGGGAGTAAACCTCTGAGTGAGGGTGGTGGTGCGGCTGCTCAGGCCTGCGTCTATCCTCGCTGTGTCACCGACCTGGGCCTTGTGCACTGTTGATTGGGCACCTGCTGTGGGACAGACTCCGTCCTAAGAGCCACCCTCCAGGACTGGCTGCTTTAATCCTTGCAGCCGCCCTGGGAAAGTGAGGGTGGGGCTGTCCTCACTTCACAGACGAGGACGCTGGTTTGGGGAGGTCG